GATCCGACCTCTCTTCTTTTTGGGGAGAAGTGGCATTTTCTGGGATCGCACTTCTTCCCACTTTCTCAGGTCTTCCCGCAGGTATCGGAGGGGAGTGGAAACAAATATCTATGTGGCAGTTTGTCCGCGACTCACGCCGCAGTAGTTCTACCAAAAAACAAAAGAGGAGGATGGCCGTCCCTGCTCCTAAAAAGAAGGTCCGCATTTTTTATTTTTTTTTCAAAATCCGGTGGGCTACGTGGTCCTCTCCTCTGTTTGACAGCACGTTCCTTTCCCCTTGGGTCCCCGCCGAAATCGTAAAAGCCCCGCTATTGAAAAGCCCCGCTATTGTTGGCCAAGCGGGATCCGAAATCACTTTTCCGTTCCTCAAGGGGCAGGCCCGCCGCTGTTCTCCCCGAAAAGAAGAGAAGTCGGATCAGCCCCTTATTCGTGACCTCATTTGTCAACGGCCTGAGGGGCCACGGGGTTTGGAATTTTGCGGGGCTAGGAATTTTGCGGTGGCCTCGGGAGGTTACCGCAAATTCCCTTTCTTGTTTGGAATCAACCTGAGGAAATGGAAAGAAATTCGAAGACTAAGATATTCCCAGGAAATGCGATCTCGCAGTGTGACTGGAGCAGTAGAAGAAGAGGTGAAATTGAGAGAAGAATGTAAATTACTTTTAATAAATAAAGGGAAAACAAAAACAAGAGGACCCCAAATCCAGGAGGGAGATCCCACTGCCGATGTATGTGGATTAGTGGAGAGGGAGTGTGCTGATCAGAGCGGTGACAGGCGGTGTGGTGGTGTGGTGTTTCTTGTATTTGAGCGGGGGGACACATGTATTTTTGCGGCCTCCCATTGGTCCCTCTTTCTTTGTATTTTGTTGAGTAGTCCGTGTAGGGGTCTCCAACGTGAGTGAAAATCAGAACGATTTTTTTGGTGATGATTTTCACACACCTTCCACACACCTTTGGTCCGTGGCCCATGCATGGAAGAGAGGCCGAAATCGACAATGTGGGAGGTGTTTTGGGAGGATTCGATCCCCTCACCTACAGCAAAAATGGCATAGAGTTACTCTGACATCTGTCAGAGCGAAGGACCAGAGTGCTCTGTGGCCCATTTGAAGGAAGGCTCAGACTACTGTTAATGAATATGGTCCGCTTGGACGCTCACATGCAGTCATCTTGACTGCCACATCCATGGTCAGTCAATCATACCCTGACATCTGACACGCTGCCTGGATGAGATAGGATCCATGAGAAGAGCACTTCCTTCTCTTTTTTCGCATTTCTCTCTTCATTTCTTTTGTCAAGATACGGTTTTCGTTTTTATTTCACCTACTTTACTCTGCCACCCACCCGTCCCCCACCAGTCCCACACAGGTCACACTAATCCAAATACATGGTAGTGGGATCTCCCTCCAGGCGGCCGGAACCTTGTCTGTTGCGAGATGGGGAAGCAGTGTGACGGGTCCAGCAACTACCACTATTTTCCCCGATCGGAGCAGTCGAAGAGGACCCAAATCCACGCAGTGTGAGCACGCCTTAAGTGAGGCCGCCCCTCACTCATTCTTCAATGCCTACTTCGCAGCAGGAATCGATGTGACCTTCACCACCGGCATTGCTCCCCGTATCGGCATCAGGGCTTCACGCAGGCGTTGCCTTCGAAAGAACGCTCTCGCCAAGCCGTTCTCTTGCGAATCGCGCGCTCCTCACTAATGGACAAAAAATGATCTGTTTTCCGGTGCCTGTTTTGATGAACCTGGCACAGCCCAGTCGCCACGAGGAGGGCCCACCGGACGCATCAGGTTTGCAACAATCTTTTTATTTATAGTTTTCTAATGCCAAATTCTACAATACAAATCAGAGCAGTCACAGACCACTTGGTAGGCTAGAACCAGGACTGCCTGGTATTTCGGGGGGTACTGGCCCAAGAGGTTTTCTGGTGAGCCGTATCTACCAGTTGTCACGATGCGGGTCCAGTGCAGCGGGCGGGGCGGAAGACGGGAGGAATAGTCCCCTGTTGGGTTGTTCCGGAACGAACTTGAAGGCGTTTCACTGCAGGTCCGGGAGGAACAAGAGGATTTCTCCTTTTTTCTTGTCCCCACACACCAGATAAATAGCGAAAAACGGTTAGAGAGGCCTCATCGCCGCACTGCGCTCTCGAAGGGGGCGCTCTCCACTGTGTCGGAAAAGAACTGGGTTTTTTGAGAGTGCAGTGTGGCGGTGCAAGGGACTTGCTTCACTACTCACCAAATGTGCAAAATGAGAATGAATCTTCTGCTAGACCATGGAAAGATACACCGCCATATTTTTTGTCTTTTGTGCATGTGGTGAGTAGTGGATCGAGGCCTCGGTTCGAGAGTCTCTTGAACGAAACACGACAAAACGCTGGTCGCAGATGGTTGTCCGTCGCGGCACACTCTCGAAATTCGGGCCAAAATCGGAGGTGCCTTCAACCACTCTCGAAAGTGGCAACTTTGCAGGCCAGCCAAGGACCACAGTTCGCGAGCACTCCTGAAACCCGGGTTCTGGCCACTCTCAAATTTTTTTCTGGGACCGATTTTCGAAAGTTGGTATGGTGATGAGTTTCCTTTCCAAATCGGTGTTTTCAGGATAGGTGTGTCAAGGCCCAAACACAGGGACACGAAGAGAGCAGAAGAGACTGGAGAAGAGAGAGGAGAGAAATGAGAAACACAGGGAAGAGGGGACTAACAGAAACAACTACCTTTTTCCCCCGAATACAATGTACGGTCATTATAGCTGTATTTAGACTGAAAGATACCCCAAATTCAGCTATAATGACAGTACGTTGTATTCGGGGGAAGGCTGTAGCACTCGTGTGTGACAGAAGAGCATTTTTTACCAGTGGCCATGGACTGCAGATCTAAAAGCAACAACGTTGAGTCATGACACAACGACAAAATTATGTATGTATTATTTTTGTTAGCATACAAAAGGTCCCATGGACCATAGATCAGATAGGGAAAAGTTATAAAACCTCCCCGCGATGAAACTTGTATTCATTTCCCCCAAAAGGGGGCAAAAAGTGCCGCAGACCCCAAAATGACTTTTCCTGTCAAAAATCGCCAGAAAGTGTTTTACAGGGTGCAAAAATGACACCTAAAGTCATTTTGGGGCCTGCGGCACTGTTTGCCCCATTTGGGGGGAAATGATTACAATGATCACAAAGGTTTCGCCACGGCGAAGTTTAAACCACCAGGTCTTGGCCCAGCTATCGAAGCGGAGCCTCCCAGCACCCTGCGCGCCAAGTCCTGCCGAACCGCCGCGGCACTTTTTTGTCTTCTTTTTGGCTGTGGCCTCCAGCCAATGCGGTCTGGTAGGCCGAAGCCCGAATGACACGTCGCGTCGCGTATACAGGAAAGCGCCGCGGCCGATAGCTGGGCCAAGTACTGGTGGTTTAAACCACCAGTACTTGGGCGACGCCTTAGCGTTAACGCTACGCGATTTCCGCGGCCGGCGGGTCGTCGATAAATCGAATCGACAGCCTGCGCCGCTTCGAGATTTGGGCGGCCGGCGCGGCGCGCAGTGCCCAAGTACTGGTGGTTTAACAAGTTTTCCCGATCAGATATTAGGCTGTTTGGAAGAACAGATGCTACACTCGATGTATTATTATTTTTCGCCAGAAAGGTATTAGTGGCTATCTTACGGCCATTACCTTCATAGGCTTTTTGCCTACAATAGAGTGCAGTGTCTGTTCTGATCAATTTTGTAGGGGAAAAGCTGTAAAACCTCCCCGCACCGAAACTTCTGTATTCTTTAGGCCCATAGTGCAAAAATGGCGGGAAAGTGTGACAGGGTGCGAAAATAACTCCAAAGGTCATTTGGGGCCTGCGGCACCTTTTGCCTGGTTCAGGGGGAAATGGATACAAAGGTTTTGTCAGGGGGGGGGTTATGACTTGTCCCGATTTGTACCTGATCCGAGACCAATCCCACCAGCAGGAAGGTTTAGACTGGGTTTCGAGTGCTCACAGGTTCCTCAACTGCCATCCTATGTGAACATCTCATGGCCTCACTGTGTTGGTGCCACATTGAAAATTTACCATGGTTACCAACCGGACGTCAGGATCCCGATCCAGACAGTCCGGTGTCCGGGTCCAGTGTCCGGTTCGGAGAGTCCGGTTGGACCCCGATTTCAAAAAATTCGAATTTTTTTTTGGGGTTCCCAGGCCGTTTACCTGGGCCTGGGGTTCCCCAGAAAAATAATGCTGATGTTTTTTGAGAACCGGTACCCCAACTGGACAGGCCCTGAAAGGGCCCTCTGTGTGGTAACATTGGCACACGAGTTCACTGCTTTTCTCTTATTTGGATGGAATCTTGGAGCATTTGAGCTATCTGCTTGGTACATGACTATCTGGACTTCTGCAAGATTTTGCAACTTGATTTTCTGTCTATCGCTCTCGCTCATATTCCTTCCATTTTTGTGACGTGGGAGGAGGGTCTGGCCGATGGGAGGGGCAGCCAGGGATGGGAGGGGGATGAAGGATGGGAGGGGCGCAGGGATGGGAGGGCGATGGCACCGGACAAAGATGAGCTACATTGGATACTGTGTTGGTGGGCCCTGACGGCGATTACATTGGCACATGAGTTCACTCCTTTGCTCTTATTTGGATGGAATCTTGGTGCATTTGAGCTCTCTGCTTGGTATGTAAGTGTTTTTTTTTTTGTTTTTTTTTTTTTTAATCCGGACAACCGGACACTGACACAGCAAACTTAGCTGCTGTGGTCTATTAGAATTACAGAAGAAAAACACAACAAAAAAATGATGTCACGGGACTCATGACTGAGTATTAAAAAAGAAAAGAAATTACCGTGGAATCGCGTGGATTAAAATCACGTGGATTGAATAAGAAGTAATATTTCAAAGGGGAATTAGGGAAGCTGCTAGGGACGTTCCTGTTATTCAAGAAGGAACAGGAGCGGTGAGACCAGCAGGAGGAAGAGGGGGTGAAGTCCGTTCTCGAGAAGTCGGATGGGGATCTCAAGGTGTAAGTCGGGTTCCAGGGAACGGCATGCAAGAGGCAGCTAGGATGGATACACCACCAGTAAACGGGCTGGCAGGAATGGGAGGAGTAGTGGGAGTGGTAGGGGGAGGAGGGGCAACGACGCCCAGCGGAGGAGGGAGAGGAGGAGACCCCGGGACTTCGTCGCAGTGGGGTTATTACCAAGGCCAAGGGGACCTGTACCTCAAGCACGTTCAACAATATCCCATGTGGCAACAACCTATGTCGGGAGGTTCGCCATATGGATACTGGGCGAGACCAGGGTACACAGGGATGTATGGGCCAAACCCATCTCCAGGATACGTAAACTATATGTCAGGGGACGGGACAGCAGGGCAACTCCAAGGAGCAGGGACGGCACAGCCGAGGTTCATGGAGGAAAGCAGAGTGAAGGAAGTGGCGGTAGACTATCAGGGAATGCTGGGGAGGGGGCAGGGACAAGCGGGAACATCGCATTCTTCGAGTGCAGAGTCAAGGCAAGTTCAGGGAGTGGAAGGGGAAGGCGCGTACGTCATTCCAGACGGTGTGGAAACAAGAAATGCAAAGGTTGAAGAACACGAGGAGAAATTTATCTTACCGCTGGTTTGCACCATGCTGGGTCCAGAGGCCTTTATTTTAGGCCTGATTCATAGGAACGGTCAAACTGTCCTGCCAGCGTCACCAATAAACGGTATCCCAGGCCCGGACCTGGTGGAAGCGAGTGTTAGACAGATGTATGCAGATAGGCTCTGCTTTCGCCTGTTCCCTGACGAAATAATTCCGAAGATCACGATCGACACTCCGGCAGGAAAGCGTATCAAATTCTATATCGCTATGGTTGACGCCCGCATTCCGGTACCACATTGGGCGGGTCTCCCAGAAATGGGACTTACCTGTATCCCACTTCGGGTCCTGCTGGAGGAAACTTCGATGGAACTGACGAATGTGCTGGTGGAACCAGGGGTAGCAGCGGACTTCCTAAGAGCCTTGAACGAGAGAATGCCGCTGGACAGAAACCTTGAATCGGGCTACATCCAAGAAGTGCTGCAGGAAACCTGGCAGTTGGAGTCACCAGCCGCGGAAGGAACTCATCGGGAGGAACCAGTCATAGAGCATATCCAAGTATCAATTCCTCCGGAGGGAAATAATGGTCAAGATTATAATTGCAACTTGGAATGTGCAGGGGCTCGGAGACATCGGGGGGAGGCAGAAGGGGCGGAGGTTGAAAGCATGGATACACGACCAAAAGGCTGACGTCACCTTCATCCAAGAAACAAAGCTTTCGGAAAGCAAGCTGGTACAACTTAGGGATTGGTGGGACGGCCCGCAGCTTTGGTCTCCGGCAAGGGGAACCAGAGGAGGAACCGCGATACTGGTCCATAAAAGGTTAGAGGCGGAGCTAATAGATTACGATGCGGATATGTAGGGAAGGTGGGTTTGGTCGAAGCTGAAGTGTAAGGAGTGGATGATAGTGGTGGCTACGGTATATGCACCCAATGTCCCCAGGGAGAGGGCTGATTTTTTCAAAGCGCTCCCATATTGTCTGCCGAAAGCAGAACACGTGATTGTTGGGGGAGATTGGAATGTGGTACTCAATCCAGGGGTGGACTCAGAGGCAACAAAGGGTAGGAAGAGGGACAGGGAGGCTTTACTTAGATGGATGGAAGCCTGAGGTCTACAAGATATCTACAGGACCATGCACCCTGCCAGTTCAGGCTTCACTTGGTTTGCTGGGACTGCCAATGCATCTGGTGCAAAACGTCGCCTGGATTTCTTTCTGACATCCGGAAATTTTTCAGAAGGAGCTCAAAAGGTGGGAGAACGAAATGTCTCCATGTCAGACCACAAGCCGGTGATCATGGAGGTGCAACTATCTGCACAGGACAAAAGAGGTCCGGGTCTCTTCAAACTCAATGTACAGAACTTGGAGGATGAAGGGTGGGCCTGGGTGGCAGAAATGGGTGCAGAAGTTCTGGCTGGACTGACAGGCAGCTAAGGAAAATTTTGAAGAGTCCCAAGACTGGTGGGATGCGGGCCTAAGGATCATCTCTGCGAAATTCGAGGTCTATTCAAGAATAGCGGCAGCAAGCAGAAGGAAACAGGAAGAGAAGTGCAGGAAGCGATGTCGGGCGTATCGGTCCGGCACCGCACGTGGCAGTGCGGGAACCTCTTGGCCGCGTCACGCACGAGTTGGACCAACCTYGYCRCRAACACACAAATGGAGCTTCCTTAGGCCGCWCCGGCCGAGTGCGYCAGCCATACCTCTCGCGAGCCCCTACGACAGGATAGGGCCTACGCGAGRCACAACTTACCTCCACCTTACGGGAGTTGTCACCTCCCTTCGGTGGGCGTATCACCGCCGAGCTACCAGTCCACAGTACGAAAGCTAATCAGTTGCAATCGCAGAGGTGGACCAGCCGAGGGCGTTTCTCGTTCGCTGTAGCATAGGGGGTACGCGCGGTAGCACGCCTATCAAACTCGCACGCGAACCGACATCTTGAGGGGCTGAAGTCCCAAGCGCGGCTCGACGTCGGTCGACTAGGACGTATCCCACTCTCCACTCGCACACCACTTTACAAACACAAAAAAATAAAACACACACACGCACACATCGAAACAACGCACACAACCAATAACGCGACAACACTCCTAGTCCCTTCGGTAACCATCCCATAACTTTCCGACGCGGAAATCAGACAAGCGTCTCACGCGAGACCTTGTATAAGAGCGCGTGGACGCAGGGCTAACTCATATCGACTCGCAATGCAAGCGCACGCAGACAGTCGCGAAGATGGCGTACTATGTAGTACCCATTCTCACGCGGTCCTCGTTATTCTCAAGGGTCGCATTCGACACTCACGTGTCGGCTGACACGCGCCTTGAGGGTTAATCTCTCGACGTTGGACAACCGCCAAGCGAGGTTGAAGACCACACACCCTCTTCTGCATCCTGTGCAGAGCGGGTGGTACACAGGTCCACACCTGTGGTGGCAGTCGTTCCATACTGCCCTGGAGATGAGCCCCACTCCACGCCTGGACAGAAGTTAAGGGGTTTGACTTTGACGGCTGCCACGGACTACAACGTCCAACTATAAAATCTCTAAGAAACAAAAGGATAAAAAGGGGTCTCCCTTTTCTCTCGAACACGTAATCTGTTTAACCCTTACGCGCGGCCGTAGTAAGCCGCACGCTTATCTAAGGCACGTATAAATATATACACAAGGCTTATTTATATAGAACGATCACATCTTACAGTCACAGTGGGACTCCTCTCAGCCATATATGTATGTAATCGCAGGCAGCCATATCCTGAGTCTGAACCACAAACATACCTGCAATCACGTCAAAGATTCAACAACAGTCCACGCACTACACGGGGTCAACTTCAACCATTCTCTATGCTCATACCCCTTGCTTTAGCCATACAAACCTCACTCTTGTGCAACTTCCTGAAATAAACACTGAGTACTTTTGTTAAATGGTCATTCAATAAAGTCCGGGTGAAAACACAATGAAACAATTCAAACCACAGGGCTAAAGCCTTTAGGTTGAGTGACAAGAGTGGGTTGGAGTCGAATCGTAAACCGACGAATCGGCAACCGACCTGTTATCCTTGATAACAGAAGATGATCCTCGTAGGATCAAGCTGAATCTCGTCCAAGTCCTGAATCGAATGTCCAAGAAAGACCTGTACCATAAGACAGGTCAATGCCCAAGCTAAATCATCAGCATATGGGGGATGAACCTCCATCGCACATTCTCACTCAAGACTATGTGCCAACTAAATCCAAGCCTACCCCTAAGCCAGTGCCCAAAGCAAAGGTAGACTAACGACAGGATCTCCCCTATTCCGGGCGGATCGCCACCTGTCAAAATATAACCTATCTCCTTTAAACTAAGAAAATTTCGGCAGCACTTCCTGTAGGAAAAGTGTCTTTTCATAATTTACATAAACTCAAATATCAGATGCAAGAGTAACCTATAACTCTGGAAAGTCACATTTTGTCTAACTCCCTGAATTAGTAGAAATTTGGACAACACTCCCTTTAGAAATGAAGATCTCTTAGATTCATACTAAGTCAGGTTTCGACTCAGCCTACAACCTTGAGCCTAACTCAGACAAAATCTGACTAACTCCTTAGTTCTGCAGAAATTTCGGCAGCACTCCCTCTAGAAAAGTGTCTTCCCAAGATTTATACAAAGCTGAGTTTAAAAACTTGAGACTAACTTTGACTTTCCAAAGTCCAATTTTGTTTAACTCCCTAAATTAGCAAAAATTTGGGCAGCACTCCCTTTAGAAAAGGAGACTTTTCAAATTTTTACTAGGTCTAATATAGAGGAAAAACAAGTTGAACTTTGACAAGTCAAGATTTGTCTAACTCCTTGAATATGTAGAAATTTCGGCAGCGGTTCTCGTAGAGAAAGTGACTTGCCAAAATTTATACAAGCCCAAGTATAACAGTGAATCTCAGAAAGTGCAAAAATCGATCTAAGTAAAATAAAGTCAGCCCAGAAAATGCAGGAATTGACCTACTGCTATCGCTTCAGCACGTGGTAAGCCTCTTAAGCAACTACCTGTCAATCTGAAACCCAGACCAAGTAGTAATCTCACTCAGCCACATGCAAGCCAAACCACAAAGGTAAGTACTCTCACCAACCCCAAGCTCTTTGGCAAACAGTAGTTCATGCTCCCTCTGTGAATTATCCCTTTATGCCCAATTTACATAAGGCATAGGTCAGACCACCTGAACTTACAGAGCGCGCCCAACTTAACCAGGCCTAAAGTCAGAACACCTAAATTTATAGAGCGTTCTGACTTAGCCAAGTATACACAACCAGAGGGCACAACTACTTCTCTCTTCTTTGGGCATATGACTAGACCACTCTAGTCGCCCTGAACGGTTCAAATAGCCAAGTTATATATATCTCTATGAACTTAATCTTCAAGGGGGACATAGGGCCGAACCGCTCAACTTAGAACACTGCTCAGCCTGCCCACGTTTACCTTTAGTTATATCTTTTAATTATACTCTCTTCAATTGTGATAAGCTATAGCCAGACTACCTAAATTTATAGAGCGGTCTGACTAGCTCGTTCTTAGTAACATAGTAATACAATATAACCAAATTATAACCATGGGTTCCAACATGTGCGAGGCATTGGGTCAGACTACCTAAGCTTATAGAGCGGTCTGATCCTTTGCCAAGTTCGTTCCTCTCTGATCCAGTCTGTGCGAGGCAGTAGGCCAGACCACCTTAACTTATAGAGCGGTCTGCCCCCTTGCCAGAATTACTCCCTCAGAACCAAACAGGAGAATAGTTGAACCACCTAAACTTATAGAGCGGTTCAGACCTCCTCGTTCAGAACCAAAGAAACTGAGAGAACTCCCAAATAAACAAGGCAACTCAGGGTACCTAAATTTATAGAATGCCCTGAGCTCCTGAAAGTCAAACTCCGCAGTCAAATCGTCAACTTCCACTCCCTGCCGACCTCCCAAACTGCAACACTAGCCCCCTCACACAGGCAGACCACTCCTCCTTGCATCCTGCCTCTATTTCCCGTGGGCAGACCGCAGTCACACGACTTAACATAGCCTTACCCAACGCAGCACCGCAGCTCGTGCCAGGCTGGGCAACAGCAGTAGCAGGGTCGTAGTTGACACGAATCAGCAGGGCACACAGTAAACTGTGTCGCCACGCTCATTGGAAGTACCGCAACCCTGGCAAGGCAGCAATAGCCCTCTCCGTCTGAAGGAGCCAGACTGGATGGCTCTACCGCCGTAACCTGGGCACATGTACCACAGACCACCAACCCCCAAGATAGGTAGGCGATCTCTCCCTCGTTTTGTTACCCCCACTCCCTCTCCCTCCTTACCGGACTGCACCAGACTGCGCGGCGGCCCTCACGCTGTCTCGCCGGGCAAACCGAGTTGACTGAATCACCTGGTCGACCTCACCCGAACACAGTGCACCTGAGCGCGGAGTTACTCATAACTCCACTAAGCCAAGTAACCCGCGCGCTCCCCAGATAGACCAGACCGCAGTGACCACACAGATCCTCCGCTACTACCTTCGACAGAGACGAGTGATATCGAATGGACCTTCCGCTAGAAAGTGGCCGGGTGCATCGGCCCATTCGGAATCAACACGGTGGTGGGCAGCGACTCCTACCAGCAGCCGTAGGGGGACTGCGCCGACTGCATACAACTCCGGGCATGGCGGAGGAAACAGGAGCAACTAGGCGAGGGTGACCACATTCTCAGTACGCGGTCGCAACCTCCCTCGGCGGGTTCA